AGCACCGTTTATTTCAACCTCTGCAGTTCATCAAAATGGCGAGGAGTCCGAGGAGCCAGACAGGATAGATACTTTTAGTGTTTCAAGAACATTGAAAAGCGGTGATAACGGTAAATATAATTTGAACCAACACAATTAACGCACATACATGATCTCGTTATCTTATTCAGCAATGCAGTGTGTCTATCAGGACTTATTGTACATGTGATTTTCTGTTGTTTCACATATTTTCTTTTCTATTACAACACGATGCAGTACAAATTCTGCTGTGAAAGATGAAAACAGTAGATAAGAATATGAGTTCTTAGAATGAAAGTAATTTGAACTAGGCTACACTTTACTTGTAAACATGGAAAGAAATGTTCTGTGTACGATAATTGTAGATCTGGAGAGAAATCAGCCTGGTGATCAGAAGGTGACAGTCTACAAATTTCCGAAATACATCGAGAAAGCAAAGCTTGGGTGGCGAGTTTGCCTAATTCCTAATAATTGGAAGTAGAGGGTGTCACTGATGTTATAGCTGTACCTTGCATTGGCCTGAAAATGTACAAAATAGAACATACAACCTGGAAGAGGCCATCGTCCAGCAATACCTCCAACACTTTTCCAAGTGTCGAAATCGTATGTTACATGTTATCCCGAAGTAAGCCTCAACCAACTACAAATTAATGTCGTGCTGTGGGCATTGATGAAATAAACGCCTTTAACAAAATTTAAAGCCAATGCGTTTGATGATCAGTTCATATCGATACTCCGGAAACATGGAATTTGCATCCGATGACGAACTGTCCCGTATCATTTTCTTTGGTAAAGAAAGAGTTGGTGCTATTCCAAAAGTTTCAGTCTATTTTCAAGTTATTAGTTCCTCTACTGGTGTTTTCATCTCTTTTGAATCATACAGATCACTCCAAAGAGTCTAGATCTACCTCCCTTTACTGAAATCAATAAGTGGAGAGAGTAAACTCACAAAGTTTTTCTTCGTTTTGTTAGGTCAGAAGAAAAGAATGACAGGAAATTTGAATCGTTTTTTTTTTTGTTTAAATAAGTTGAACTCCCCAAGAAATGGGCGACTGTGATATAGTCTTATTGGTGTATGTTTCCAGTGGAATATGTGTTATTTTCTAATTACCTATGTATATATGATTTTAGATATATTTATATATATATATATATATATATATTGACTGTTTCTACAAGTGTTCGTGGCATGAGCTTGCAAGATTGTAAAGCCTTGCTTGATCAACACTTCAAATATTGTTCTATTTATGTTTACCGCTTAATAAACTTAAATAAACACGCAACATAGTTACTGCAATGCTTTCCTTTACACTTGTACGACTGCCTGCCTCTCTCTCCATTCATCTCCGCTATTAGACGTTCTCTTACTATGATTTAAGTGTTGATATTTTTCCTGTTAAAGCATTAGTACATATTTCCAATGTCCTTTCCAAAGTAACAATTGCGTTAAAGAAATAATACACCGTAAATGCCGTAATATTTTGGACAGTTGTTTAATCAAGCACACGACGTGATGCTCTCTCACCCTCTCACTTCTGCACTACACGTTGTCTGCCCTGGGCCTCTATCTCCCCGTGACCTACTTCCGATGAGGCGGCCTGATCTCTCTGACCTTCTAGGTCGGGGTGTTTTTCGAGACTTAACCAGGACGACCGGGGGAGCGGGTGGGGGTATTGTTTTGACACTTGGGCTTAAAGTGCGTGCCGTGATACAAGTAGAACAAACTAATTGAGGATAAAGGAATAAGAAATTGTTTTAAATAAATGAACAACCTTGGCGCGATCTTTTTTGTGGAGGGGGTGGGGGTGCCTTGAGTGTATTTGCGATGGAAGTCAAACGTTGTTACTGTATGAAAACACGGGCTTTTTGCGTGGATGATGAGAGTTATGTGTCAGCTATTTTCAAGACAACGAGAGTTTCAGCTTTACTGCAACCTGCGCTCCCCCACTCTAGCCCACTCCGACTCGAGTAATGCTGTCTTTCAGTTTTCCCTCTGTTTAGTGGCCCAAACGTGAACTTATTCCTGCAAAAGTTTTCTCTTGCTTATTTTCCTCATAAAAGGGAACCAGGATCCCCCTTCCCCAGTACCCCTTATGACTGATTTGCCGTTGATCCCGATTTTTTTCACCAGATCCTGATTTTTTTACTCTAACATCCTGATTTTTAGATTTCATAGAGTGGCAGGTCTGATGCAGGCCTCAGCGACCGCTACCACTTCGTCCACGTGGCTGTCGAAACATCTGGCGCTCTCTGTCCCCTGACGACCCTGTTCTTCCAGAAAGTTGTTAGTCGGTTAACAAATGCCAGAGGTGACCCACGGGAGACGAGGTGGTTGTTAGAGAGAAGAATCTCTCTGGCGTTTGTCAGAGGCAATGAATGCCTTTTCTGTATTGGCAGCCCCACTGCCGGATGAGCGATGAATTTTATCTTTCAATAGATGGATAGATAGTTGGTTGTATGAGGATGTATGGATGGATAGATGGATGGATGGATAGATAGAAATTGCGACAACAATATTTATCAGTCAATTTTACTTTATTGGCTAAGTTGTTGTGATAAAATTACGTTATCTTTAGTACAGTGGAGCTCAGATTCAACGAGATGAGATAGATTCCTTGTTTTTTCTTCTGAACTTTAAAATCAATAAAAATAACCGGATTCAACGAGCACTTAAATCAACTAGCTCGGATTCAACGGGGTCGCTTCCAGGTTGAACAGCCCCCGCAGATGTGGCTTCGCTCATTTTTCTCCCAGAACAAACTTTATCTAGTCCCGGAAACCATCCATTGTGCCTGCATCGTGAACCTTTCAACCGTTATTCACTTAACCGATTGCATGCGACCAATCAGCGGCCTTTTTTCATACCAACACATACGTTGTTGGCACGCGCACGTGTCTATTTTAGCGTGTCTCGGGGTCGGATACACGGCCTGCTCACATGTGACTGCGTGTATGTGTCGGGGGGGGGCAGCGGTCTGGGAGTGGAACATCGCGGATACAAAGGCGTCACTGTCAATTTTGTCCCTCGGCATTTGATCATATTACAATGATAAGCTAGTCTTGACATAGATCTACGTAAAGAATTGTGTGCTGGTCTATGGAATCAAAAGTTGCCGTATGCTAGGGTCTACACAGCAACACACATTTTTGGTAAACAATCGAGATGACACAGGTGTGTGCATTTGAACGAATCGCTCTTTGAAAATGCCTTCCAAAGGTACTGCAAGAAAACAAGACTGATCGACCTTGGAAGTAACCTATTTTGCATTAATAGTCACACTGCAAAAACTATTTAAATCCTTCATGATGTAAAGAAAAAAATCCCTCCACGCCCCCGTTCACACCCTACACTACACTCGTACACTCACACACACACACACACGCTTACTCACACACTCACACTTACTCATTAACACACTCTCCCACCCACACACACACACTCACACACATGGGCCACTATTCGCAAATTATCAACAAATCTCGAGAACGGAAACCATTTGGAGAAATAGAGTTCAAGTTTATTTTCCCGAGCGTTCGGAGAAATAGAGCTGGCCTATACAATTCAGTTTCGGATCCGATCCAGTTTTGGCCCCTCTCTCTCCCTCTCTCTCTCTTATTTTTTACCCATTGTTAACAAGCCTTTGCCCTGCTATTACCGGTTGGGCTCCGATGAGGCCTTGTTATTACAGATAACTTTTAATAGAGACACAGGGTAGGAAAAAACGGGGATTTAAAAAATAGGTTATTACCGGATCCCTGTTATTACCGGGCCTGATGGTTTCAACTGTACCAAACCTAAAGTTGCAAAACATCAAATTTTAAATTCCTGAATGAAGTGGCTATTCGGACTTGAGTTTGAATAGCCTCCCGTTGCTATTCGGACTCAAACTCTAATGCGCGGTATTGTATTGTCCTGATTTTATTTGAACATCATGTAAAGTTTAAGTATGCTGTTGGAAAAGGCTTTTCCTTTAGACCACTGTTACTTTGAATGACTGACTTTTGTTCCCTTTGGAAGGGTTTTAACTTTTCTCTTCTTAATTCCTGGCTGGACTTCCTATTTATCAATGATTTTGTCTTTCTCGTCGAATAAAGCGAGTTTAGACAAATGATAGAGTTATAATCCTTTGTTGTTCTGATACTTTGATTTTCAATTTTTTTTCACTGCTTTGAGCTCAGATTACCGTTTCCCTGTTTGCCTTTGTTGTGTAGTTCAGATTTGACGTCACTAATACTTCTTTTAATTTGTTTCTAAAAATTTTTCCACATCGTAGATTAGAAACTGAGGAAGGCCAAGGTCGAATTGCCTGTCTGCTTCACATCCGGTGCACCCGTTGACTGCGCATGCACATTCGAGTTTTGAGTCCGAATAGCCACGGGAGGCTATTCAAACTCGAATCTGAATAGCCGCGGCCTTAGCCATTCCTGAAACCCCCCCACATTTTTATAGGCTCGAGTCAGGGCACCCTGAACCCCTTGGCCTTGTTAAAAACATTGGAAATAGATCCTGTTACTTCTCATTTTGTACTGAAAAATAGCAGTATGTCTCTCGCTCTTTTGGAAAACATTGATGCAGGATATTTAAGTCAGTATCGATATCCAGTACACCCGGGGCCAAAACCAGAGAATGCTGATCTATAGGATCTAGATTTCTGACTATTGTCTAGAGGAAGTCTTTAATAGTTTTCTTTAAGTTACTACTTTTTAATTTATGGAGTATGGAGGAAGAGAAAAAAATCTAGGTGGCATTCTCCGGTTTCGGCCTCAAGGCCCAAGGCCAAGAGTACTGAATATCGATACTAACTTAATTATTTGGTATCACTGTTTTATCCGACATCTGTTCATATCACAACACACTGCAAGTGCAAGATTTTTGTAGAGCCGTACCCTGACAATATAATAACGTGATAGAATTAACATAGAAACAATGACAATGTGTCTTATAATGTGATGTTTTAAAATGCGAATCATTTTCTTTTCAGAATGCTAGAGGACTGTTATGTGATGAAGGATCCTTTTTCTACCTCTGGAGGCTTCATAAGTGTAGGAGGAATGTGTTCACTTTGTGCTCGAAATGTTTGCATGGCAAATGTAAGTTATCCGAATCGTGTGTTAAGTTACTGCCTGATAAAGAAGGGACCACTAGTATAATATCATTTTGCAGTTTTGAGATATGTTATGGCAGTAGTATACTATTTTGCTTACACTCAAGTAAACCTATGACAAAGTGACAGAATGAACTAATAAGTTAGTAGCGATGAGGTTGCGGGCTTGGAGATTCAAGGCACAGGCCAGTTGTTGTGTCCTTGGGATAGACACTTTACTCAAAATTATCCTTACTTCACAGAGATGTGAATGGGTATTTGACCATAGACTGTGAAAGATCTTGACAGTATATTAGTGTTTTATCTCCTGCAAAACGGCAGCTTGCACTGTATGCTTTCGAGGAAGTTGAGATCATGTCAGAATGCAATCAGATCAATGATGATATTGATTGTAAAGGACAACTTGCCATTGAGCTGGAATTTGCATATTTTATTTATTATTATATCATTTGCTATTGAAACAGTCCAGGGACTATCGGAGACGGACGTTAAACTAGGAACTAGGAGGTCCCGCCCCTTAAATAACCTAATAGTGTTGATAGGGGTGTTAAACCCATACCATTTCACCATTTCACCAGTCCAGGGACTGACGTAGCAGTGGAATAACTTGAAAGGGGATCTCTTATATGCACTTGTAGATATAATATAAAAAGTACTTCCCTTATACCTCACAACAAAATACTTAGGTATCACAAAATGATGGACAAATTGTAATTGGGTTGCTTACCAAGAAATCCAATCTTGTGGTCCACTAATTTGCTGTTTTTTAAATAGTTATTTTACAATTTCTTTGTTTTGGACAAACTCTCCTTTTCTTATTATATGAGCTCAAGCTAGGGATGCACGGGGGGGTCTGCTCAAACAGCCTGATGAGACATTGTAATTTTTAAACAAACTGACTCTACACAAATATGCCTTCTGTAATTTCTTTAAAATTTCCGTAACAAACATGTATCGACTGCTTAGTATAAGATTACTATATATATATAATATATGCCCCTGATTAAAAAGTGACGTACGACAGAGTTTAGCACTGATCTGTCGATGTGTATTTTTATGGTTTTTCGATTTTGATTTTACTTGTATTGAAGTCTTTCTAATTAATAAGAATTTGTAAAATGCTAGAACCCCTTACCTACTCATTTCTTGTTTTCCCCATAGATCAGGTCATTCATCTCATCTACTAAACCTTTTACAATCTTTCCATTGTGAAATATATATATATATGTAAGTTGATGCAAAACTTTAAAAGTCTATGATAAATAATAATATGTTTGATAATAACATGTTTTTGCTTCATTTTATTCGAAATTAGTTCTTATATTACTGAATGTAGCTTTCAGTTGCATTGTTTTTATCCATAAGACCAACTTATACTGATTTTTTTTTCTATTTTGCAGACTTGCAGTTTATTCTACACTCAACGTTTTTGTTTGAACTGTGTTGCCGATAGACTGGAAGAGTTTCCTCAAGAGATTCAACAGGTTTGTACAAAAAATGAATGAATCCGTCCTTCTCCCTTCAGTTTGTTTTCAAAGATGAGTTAGATCATCTAAATATAGTTTTAAAAATTTGATCACGCTCTAACTATGAAAAGGCAGGGTATTTAAAAATGTAAAACAGATTTTGTGCCTCCTTACTAAAGTTGTAAATATTCTGAAGTATGCAAAAAAACAGATAGGTATGGGGAGGGGGGGGGGGGTATATTTTATTTTGAAAAGATTTCTAGCAAGTGTTCACTGTGTCTCATGGTACTGATTAGCAGTGATTAAAATATAGAAGATTCAACAGCCTGTGTGGTCAAGCTTGATGGATATCCAGACTCTAACTAGATTCTAACTGGGACTATAATCAGATGGGCATTGAGGTGGATCCTGGGGGGGTGGGTGGGACTATAATCAGATGGACATTGAGGTGGATCCTGGGGGGTGGGTGGGGGGGGGGGGGCAGCTTTGTTCAGGTACACTGTGTGCGATGATCCCAATCTTGTAGACAAATGGAGTAGTTAAAAAACAGATGTGCACATTTGAACAACAGTGGACAACTAACATTGGTCCGTTGATTTTTATCCCTTACGACCTATTTTCTTCCTCATTGTTGATTCTTATAGCCTGTTTGTCTGCCCCTGCACCCTTTTTCCCCCCCAAAGTACAAAGTATAATCTTTACAAATATACATTGCAGGCAGTACCAATATATGATATAGTTGTAAGATGAGAAAATACCAGTAAACTCTTATTGTAATATAGAGTAGTTTTGTAATTAAATTGTTCATTATGGTGCGTGTGTTGTAAACTGTAAGTCTTATAACTTCATTGTAAATTTTTTTCTCTCTTTTGTTTTTCTAGGAAGTGTCACAGCGTCTGAAAGAAAGGGGATGAAGGCCTAATGAAAAGTTGGTTCAAGTCTTTTCTTCAGCATTATAACATCTGCTTCCCACAGAGTTTCTCCGAGGACACAGTGGGAGACGTCGTTCCTGTACCCTGCTCCGTCACCAGTGATGTGTGATTTTAGGACTTGGCAAAGTAGAGGCTCGTGGTTTCATCTGTCAGGAGATAGTGAATACATCTCAACAGATGCTGAGCCAATTCTAGTGTAAAAACCCTACATATGACCGAAGCATTGCTAGACTGGCGTTGTTGTATAGCATGACATTTGCCTGATCAGAAAAAGTGTTGCTTTATAAAAGGAAGAGTGATTGTTTATTCAAACATTTTAACCTCTTCTCTACTGGCCTTATATTTCACCTATATGCGGAGGAATTTTCATGTAGGAAAATATCCATATCTCAGCTATGTATGAACATTTTGCTTTAAAATTTTGAACAGAGAAAGCGAATATGATATACTTAGATAATATAGTTACTTGTTAGCTGTCTGAAATTTTTGGGATCCAAAAAATTCAAACATACAAAATTTAGTAAAAATTAGGACATGCTGAAAATATATGAGGGGACGCATCACAAAACGCCTTAAGGGGGAGGGGTACTTTATAACCTATCTCGGTAACTATGAAAGTTCAGGTAAAGCCTTTTGGCAAGGAGGTTAAACAGGAAAACATCTCTAAAAAGCAACGTTACATAACCCCCCCCCCCCCCCCCCCCACCATTACCATGGTAACGGCGGCCATATTGAAAATAAACAGCTTTCATAAATCTTGAAAGGCTTTTTTATTTACTGACCGAATTTATTCAAATTTGGTACATTGATAGATATACTCAAAACAAAATATTATACAACAGGGCTCATGGATATCTTGAATAGGAAAAAAGTTATAGATGGACAACTGACCTACCCCTTCACACCTCTGAATTTATTACAAAATCACCCATAACTCAAGTATAAATGTACCTATTACATTGTCCTGTTGTATAAAGTTTGGTTATGATGTAGACAACACACCCTGAAAATATCAGAGGAATCGGTTAGAAAATAAAAAAGTAGATGAGAAAAAGGTATCAAAAAGTAAAGTTTTGAGAAAAACGACATTTTGTTTCAAAATAGACCCAAAAAAAATTCCTGGGCGGAAAATCTGAAAAATGATGATTGTAACATGCACAACAAGCATTTATGTTCTTGTGAATCCCAGTTTCATTACAATCCAGCCAAAAATATGCGAATATGAAAGTAAATTGTGACATGGGGTACTGACTGTTCAAAACCAAAAAACGAAGAAAACTGGTGATAGTGTCCGTTAGAGTACACGTCAAAACATCCCAGGCTCATACGCCACACCATCTTCTTTCTCGGCCTCAAGATGAGCCTGCTCTATTGCCTTCGCTCGCATCACCTTCCTCCTCTTCGCAGCGGCCTTCTGGACATCCTGGCTTTTGTACAAACGCTTGGTGGTGCGGGCAGAGTTCAGGCGCTCAGTGTTTACCCCAGAAGGTACGCCAAGTAAATCCTTCAACTCGGTTGTATGTCCTGGGCCAAAGTTGAATTCGGCAGCAGCAGTGATGACAGCCACTTCCACGCGTTGCTTGCTGCGGAACTGAGATTTGCTGCATTTGGCCCAGACCGAGTGGTGAAAACTTTCGTTTGCATTCTGGGCCGCCTTGCGCTCACACCGAAGAAGTAGAGAATCGACGGTGAGCCTTTCGTAGACGGGACGGAGGTGCTCATGCAGCTGTAGAGAATCCATGGTGGACACCGGCCAGGATAGCTGTCCTCATCTCGGCTGCAGTGGCTTGGCTTCGGATGGCCCTCGAATAGTAGATGGACAGCTTGCGAATAGTGTTTGCTGTCAGCCTGCCATGGCCTCTTCCATCTAGTGTGACGCCTTTCTTGCTGCAGTCGCTGACGAGGTTCTGTAACGCAGTGCCCAGCCGCTTCCCCACATGATTTAGGCACTCCTCCTTCACAATCTGGACTCCAGGACCGTACGGCTTCACCTCTGTCACCTTGTTGAAGGCTTTGGAGTCTCCATCACCAACAAACGTGGTGTACCGCAGGCCGAACTTTTCCACTGAACGACTCCACAACACAACTGCAGCCTCCACCTCCAACATCCCCGACGATCCACCATAGTTTATGTTGCAGCCACTAGCTTTGTGCTCTGTCAGCCACGCGTCGTAAGCCAGGGGAGTGTTCGTCTTCTTCCACTGACCAGTGGTAGCGCAAGTCTGGCAATGAAGGCTCAGGACATGGCTGTCGAGTACAAGCCCGGTCAGTACATCGATGACGCAGCCAATACCGATGAGGGACTTGTGGCCACGCGTCAGCCAGGAGCCATCAAAGCACACGGCGATGTCCAGCAAGCCACCCTCCGCGACGCAGCCCATGCTTTGGTAAGCCTGGCGAACAGCGTTGGCAGCCTGAAGAAATACTTTGTCCGCCAGAGACTCACTCTTTCCGTACACCTGAGTGACATATTTGTTGAAGGTCTTCGGATTAAGACCTGGGAGATCCAGGTGAGCACATAATGTGTTGAACTGGTACGGCCCCAGGCCAGACATCAGAGCCGCAGCCGTGGCACTCTGATTCACCTTGAATGGTTTCCTCTTTGCCGGGGTGCTGGTGTCGAGGGAAGACGTGTACTGGGCCTTACCGACGACGCTAGAACATTCCGAGCAGAACAGGGAAAGCCGAAGAGCCAGGCCGAACTGACCCATCTGACGTAGCGACAAAGTCCCAACGATGCTACCCTGGGGACACTGAAGCTGCTGGAACAGCCCCTCAACCTGCGACAACTCCACGATGGCTCGAGACGTATCTTCAGCAGCAGCAGGCATGACATACCTTCTCAGCTTCTCCTGGGAACGGAGAGGGATCAGCAGCAGAGGGTCCGGCGGAAAGACAGGCCCCGGGGTCTCTGGAATATCCAGAATCGAAGACGATGCAGGCATCTCTGGGGACACAGGGACAGAAGACGAGGACTGCGGAAAAAAAGTTACGGAAAAATCAGCTTCATGCAAGTAAATTTCTGGTACTGAATATTCAAAATCTGTTGACTGAAAATGTTAACATTAGGCCTGTAGGCCTACATGAAAAAGTAATACAGTTGAAAAAATTGTGCCTGTATAAAAGTGAATATAGGGCCTAGGTAACCATGCATTTCAAATTCAGTAAGAAGAATCAATAGATATTTTTCATTTCTGCAACAAAGAATAGAGAGTAATCATGCACACACACACACAAACCACATAGATCTAGATCCATACACGTTACTACTACTAGATAGATCTATCTAGATATATCATTCTAGTTCCACAAATACTAAAGTACACACACACACACACGTGCACACAAACCACATGGTACAGATCTTGATCTACACACGCTACTACTAGATCTACTACTAGATCTATCATTCTAGTACCACATTTATACTAAAGTGCACATATATAAATTGATATCACTAAACTAGAGAATCTTGTTTACGTACCTCAGCCTCAGCCTCAGCTTCACAGCTCCTATCGAGTTCCAGTTCCACAGCCTTTCCACGCATCTCACGAGCTTTGTGCAGCTGCTTCGAATGACCAGTCACCTTCTTCTTCAGCATTTTCAATACTAACGCAATTCACAAATCTAGAAAAAATCTAGAATGTCTGCTTCAAGTATACAAGTAGGCCTAAGTAAGTAACAACCTTACTAACAATATCAGAGGCGAGTGAGCACAGCAAGTGTAGAGCGTTATCGACACAGTGATGCTACCATCCAGCACGTAATCTGAAAGTGGCCCTTCGTTTCGAGAGACGAACGCGTTTCTTTGACTTGAGACTACACACCAAGTACACATGCGCACAAACAATCGACACACATGAGCCTGTACACAAAGAAAATCCTTTGTTCATTCAAGAAAAGACGGAAAATACCACGTGCAATTATGGGTCAAGCTTTGCGGAAGTGACCTTGTAACTGTGGTGGAGAACCAACAGAATTCGAGCATTCCTTGCAGTCATTAGCATTAGCCAATCAACATTCAAGGTCATCTCAGTAGTAAACATTCAGCCCACAATCTAGGTCAATCTTGGTCAAACCTTTGTCTCGTTCTGAGCTAATAGGAAGCGGTGATGAGACGTCATGACCCAGTTGCATATTTATTCAGACAGGGGAAAATAACGATTCCAACGATATACAACACTGTATGCTTATTCCGAGATAAACTATAATTATTGGTTGGTCAATTGATGAGAAATAGATCATGTTTTCTCAAAATCATACAATTTTTTCCCTACCCTAGTGTTTTGAAAGACAATTTTAGGTAGAAATATGATATTTCTAAATTAAAATTCTCTCATAGCTATTTTTAGGTACGGGAGAGGTTGAAGTATCACAACATGTAAAAAACCTCGATACCATAATTTGACCCCAAAATTGTCCGTTTTAAAAGCCGCACCCCCCCCCTTAAGGGGATGTATCCAAGATAAGGCCAATTTTTTAGAACATGGCCTCTAAACCAATTTTATTCTGTTTGATTTTAAATATTGTGTTGAAAAAGACCTAAAACAACTGTTACCTTTGATTCAAAATTATTTTTGTGTTTTTTGTGTAGTCATGGGTTCAATCGAACAAGGATTTGCAATGTTTCTTGGGAACTCTAGAACTCTGTCAATTATGCACCTACAGGCCTGCTTTTTTGCAACAAAGAAGTTACTATCCTAATCTTTAACTTTACCAAGCCATTCTTTCCTGTCGCAATTATTGATAAAATTATGAACCAGGACTCTTATCCTGTTCTTTCGGCCTTCGGAGAAGCTCAATAGAACAAAAATAAAATTTTTCATAACTAAAGAACAAAATGGTATACACCAAAAGCCTTGGTAAAGTTATGCGAATAGCCACATAGAATAAGCTTGCCAAATTTTAAAGTAATCGGAGCATTACTTTAGGAGCTATTGTGTTCCCAAGCATACAGTGTGTGGCCAAAACGGCATTTTGAGAAAAACAAAAAAACCGACAACGTACGCCTACAACATCAACTAAATGAACATTCAGACGGTACAAACATGAATTTTTAAAAAGAATAAAGACCCTAGATGGAATTGCTATCAGAATTTAATGGTCGTGATAAAGAACAAGGCATAATGTCTAGCTTTTTATAACCCACCCCCCTAAAAAACAGCCTTCGGCCAAGCTCAATAAAACAAATTAAAATTTTCATAACTCACAAAAAAATTGGAATACACCAAAAAGCCTTGGTACATATATGTGAATAGCCACATAGAATAAGCATACCAAATCTTAAAGTAATAGGTGTATAACTGTTGGAGATATTGTACCTCAAGTCATATAACTTGTGGCAAAAACGGCATTCTGAGAGAACAAAAAAACAACATATGCCTACAACATCAACCGAAAGGACATTCAGATGGTACAAACATGATTTCTTTGAAAGAATAAATATCTAAGATGGAAATACAATAAAAATTCAATGGTCCTGATAAAGAACATGGCATAATTTCAAACTTTTTATCACCCATCCCCGCAAAACGACCTTCCGCTGAGCTCAATAAAACAGAAATGAAAACTTTCATAACTCAAAGAGAAAACGAAATACAAAAAAAAGCTTTGGTTGAAATGTGAATATTGAATAAGCATGCAAAATTTTGAAGTAATAATGGCATAAATTTAGGAGATATTGT